GGCAGCGAAAGTCCCAGAGAGCCAGTGACCGTTCAGTGAGAGTTTCCTGCCTTGTGAGTCGGGTCTCGCCTCAAGCCTCTGAGGGTGACGGAGTTTGTAGCAGATCTGCATTCACATCCTTCCCATGAAGATCCCAAAGATTTTCTCTTCATCTCCTTTGATGTCATTAATAAAACAAGGATTTTGGTTTTATTCTGTTTGTGTTTAATGTTTGTGATTTTTAAAATCATTTATCATGTCCATCTGACGAGTTATTAATGATCTTAAGTGGCTCATCAAAATAAAACATGAAGTCATCTTTCCTGCATCCATCTCTAGCAGCAGGATGGGTTGAGTAAGTAGGTGGGTTAGTGTAACCTGTGACTGGGGGGAGTGTCCCTGTCACACCCTGCTACCTCTTCTGGATATGTGGAAGCCCCCTGGAAGCTACATAGGGAAGAACCCCCCCCCCCCAATACCCTTAAAGACTGTCACACACTTGTGATGAAGATATTTCAATCCTCCCCCCTTGCCTTTGTTGGCTCCAAACCGGAGTTACAAGCCATCTGTTTTCAGAAAAACATCCCTGCAGATAATGACACCTGTGTGACTCATCGTAGGGGAGTAAAATAACTCCACATGCCCTCCAAGTGACACTGAACTTGTGGTGTTTTCAAACGCGGCCCTCACACGCACAGACAGTCACAAGCACAGACAGTCACACGCACAGACTGTCACGCACAGACAGCTCAATCGATTTATTGAGTATCATGCAATGCCAGTCTTAGTTTAGAAATACACACAAGAAAGAAATATATGACTATGAAAATTTACCAGATATTAATTAACTGTATGAGATAAAGGTAAAGAATGAGGCACATTGTATTACAAACTACACACCTCCCACCTTCTGGGTTTGGACCCTGCAGACCGGAGAGTGAATCCCTGTTCCAAAGGCAAAGTAGGGTGGCTTTTTAGACACTTTGCCATGGAATATAAATACAAATATAAAACATCAAGAAGTTTTTCGTTTGTTTGTTTTTAATATAGAAAATTAAGGCCAATACAAATAATCCTGGTCCATAAATCATAAAATATGAGACAGTTATATGAAGAAGAAATGGTTGTAAGAAAGTCAAGTTCAGACACCTAAAATAAATCAAGAATGGGAGGCTCTTGCCAGGGATATACAAAATATCTGGCTATACATTTACAGCAAATTACTGCATTATTTTCACAGCAATTTGCTGCATCATTATAACAACAAATTACAATCAAATTACAGCTGTATCCTGTGACATCACAGTCAACGCGAAAATTATCCGGTCTGCGGTGTCTAAACCCAGAACCTCCCCTCTGCTGTTTCTCATAACTAACAAAGATTTTGTTTGTTTACTCATGCGGAAAATTGTACAGTTTTTAATATAATGTGCCTCATTTTTTACCTTCATCTCATTGCCTAGAAGCACAATTCATAATTAACATAATCTAATGTGATGGTTCCTTGTTACAGTAATCGGTTGCTTTGAATTTACATGGATGTCCTGTATTTTTACATATGAACTGTAATAGCAGCACAGCACAGTAGGCAGTGATTTGCTGTTGGATCAGTGAAGCCTCCATTCTGTCACACCCAGCCTGGTCACACCCCCCCACTCGAATTCCTGCACACCTGAGCCGGATGGACCTGTTAGAGCGGTTTGTCTGTATTAGCACTTTGGGTTACCTCTTCGTAACGTTTGACATTTCTCTGCTATGTAAAACATTCATGTCCAGTTTTCCAGTCCTGCATCACATACCTTTTCACCAGTGACAGTACTGGGTTTTTCACTGTTCACATTTTGATGTGCTTTACCGTCACTGGGAATTTGACAGTCTATCCAGCAGAAACACAGTGTCAGGTGGTAGTTATGTGTCAGGGAGATGATTAAATAAATGCCCATTTGCTTTTTCACTCTCTGCCTTGTACATTATGTGCAACTGGTATGCAGACAAGGTTAGACCCAGTGCTCAGTTGCTGCAGGGGCCGTGGGCAAAACAGCTTTGGACTCACTAAAAAGACACATTAAAGGGTTATGATCTGTGTAGATTGTGAGAAGCTGCTTATAAATGTACTTTTATGTAGAAACAGAAGCATTTTGCTTGCTATGGCAGCACATATACTAAAAATGGAATGATAGAGAGAAGATTAGCATGGTCCTCATAGGGGCCCCAGCAGGGCCCCACTTGCCATGAGGGCCTCTGAAATTCACCAAGGATGGTCGGCTTTGTCACTCGGAGGCTGACTTGTCAGACAGGCAGGGGTTATGGGCCCCACATACCCCAGTGCCGTTGCCCCTTTAAGGGGTGAAACACTGGCTCCGGACTAAGAGCTCGTGGGTCCGAATCCAGCTCCAGCCGTAACCTCTGAAAATAACTGCAAAAATAACTTATTTAGCTTATAATTGGGAAAGTCTTACATACCCCTTACTTCAGCAAAACTTTATTATATATATATTTTATATAAATAAATCATATAAACTATATCATAATGCAATAATAATATGAACAATGTACTATATAATACATTAATTTAAATTACACAACATAAGAAATGTAATTAATTGTAAAAAGCATTTAATTAATGTGGCTCCTTGTGTTGTGCCTTCAACTCTCCAAATTACTTCCCTTCTGCCTTTTCACAGGAGAATTCATTTTTGAACCTTCTGTGGCCAAACTCCTGCTTCTGTGGCTGCCCACACTGCTTGCAGGTGTAGTGCTGATGGCTCACAGGAGGTAGGATGGGGAGACCCTGTGTCCTGGCCAAGGCTTCAGCTGCGTTCCACTCGGTGCTCCGGCTCCGAATCTTTAACCTGGGCAGGTTGGCGGGGCGTCTGCCTGCAAGGGTAGATGC